GGGGAGATGCTGTCCTTTGCCGGCTGTACGGAGGAACTTGGACCCTCTTCACCTGCAAGGCGTAAAAGCTGGGAATCTCCACGGTCTTGGTTCCAGGCCTGGGGGTCTGTTGCTTTTGGCCCCCTACATACGCCTGCTGTTTCAGTAATTAACTTAGGCGTTAATCTGCTCCTGCTATGAGATGTCAGGCAGGCTCAATAGTACTAAAAGGCCGTTCCATCAGCTGTGCTTCCGCACAGCATCACCTCAGACTCCTCCTTTTCCAGTCCAAGATGGTTTCCACATCCTTTTGGGATCTGGTGGAAGGAAGTGTAGGGCTGCGAAAAGTTGGCTGAGCCTTTGTGGGCCTTGTCCGGAATCCTGCAGAACCGACAGCGAATGCCGGGCGTGGGCTGGTGTCCTGTTTGAAACCAGTGGCAGAGCAGCTACAGCCCTGTGAGCATCTCTGGCTCTCCAAGGGCACGTCGTTTAGGATGGTGTCGTTTCTTACCCCTGGAATCTATTCCCCCAGGAACCCGTCCGTCGCTTTGCGGCGGGGTCCAGGGGTGCGTAAATTGGTACCTGGGTAGGCTTGAGATGCGCTGAGCTCTCCTCTGAAGATGAGCCTCTGCCTAGACTGTCAGAAATCAGGCCATTAACGGTGGATGGCCTCGACACAATTTGCTGCATAACTTGTATTTACGGATTGCAGGTGTCTGAATTTGTTCAAGCACATTTTATGCTACTTGTTGCCTTCAAGCTGTAGCTGCTGCTAATTCCTTCTCTTCGTGCAGCTTCTACCCCGGCAGACCCGGTCGGAGCTTCCAGGCCGTAACCCTGAACACTGCGGTGCAGTAACGACGTCACAGCCTTCTGCAGGAGTCAGTCACAGATGTATAAAAAACAAAATCAAAAAGTGAACAATAATGGAAGAATGCTGTTGATGGTGGAACCTGTTGGGGAATTCAGGGTGTGGTGCAGGATTATGTTTAAAAAGGACAAATTAAAAATATAAACCACTTTTACACACCCTGAATTTGTAAATGCCCCTAAAACATCCGTGGTTGCTTTGAGAAGCAATGTAAAGGCCAGGAAGCCCTCCTGACGGTGACAAGCTGCTTGAAGAGAAGCCACTGGGATTTACTGCCAGCACTGCGTTTCAGAGGGCATGGGAGAGCGCTGGTGGTGGTCCGAAAGGATTTGGGTGTGGAGAATTACTTTAAACAGAGAATTAAATGTCTTTCTCTAGAATAAATATATATTTTACTTAAAAAAAAAAAGTTTGAAACAAGAAGTGTTAATTTTAATATTTGCAATTTGCTGTTTACTCTGCATCTGCTCCGGCCGCTGTCTGAGACCGGGTCGGGGCTTGCCGGGAGCGGGGCCGTCTGACCCAGCGCAGCCCCGCTGATCCGTAGGGTGCCTCTGCCTGGCACCCCCACGGAACAGTACATTCATTTTAGGTACACGACTAACACAGATGTGAGTGGGGTCACGGTAATTGGTAGTTATTATTGTTTGGATAACGGACATCCCGGGTCTGCTCACAAAAAAGGTTGAGAAATAAATGTGAAAAAATGAGAAAGGAAGAAAACAATCACTTTACAAACCCAAAAGAGATTCCAGCAAGAATGCGTTCCTGAACCTAGCAGAAACGAAAGCCTGGGGTGCGGGGT